GCCCATGTGGGCTTTATCAGCCCACAGCCCACACCCCCTCTTAACCTAACCCTAATTAAGATTAGGGGGGTGTGGTGGCTGCGTTTTAGAGGCAGATTAAAGCTATAAAAAGACAGCAACGAGGCAGATCTTTGGAGCAACGAGATTCCAAAGAGAAGAAGGAGAACAAGGCAGAAAAGGAAGAGAAAGAAAGGAAAGAAGACAAGGACAACGCAGAGAGACTATTCACAATCATCTAGCAGTATTCTCATCTCAAGTTAGATCAAATCTACAGTAGACTCTTGCTGTGATTACCTGGAAAGGTTTTAGATATTGTGGGTAGTGGCGTGATCCTTGTATCCCAGTTATTCTCTTGTGGTTGTTACTAGGGTTTTGGGCAAGAGATTGAGATTTGTATATTCATTATTCTCATAGTGGATTATCTCTAGTTTGCCCCATGGTTTTTACCCTTCATATTGAAGGGGTTTTCCACGTATATCTTGGTGTTCTGTTTGATTGTGTTTCCATTTTATTCCGCTGCGTATTATGGTCTTCTAGTATTTGTTCATATACAAAAGTTATTCCTCTTTATATCCCCATCAAGAGAGACGAGTCATGGTTGCACCATAGAGGAAGGCTCCGGAGAACTAAGAGGAGTTGGGGTGAGACGAAACGCCGCAGTGAGGGGGCACTATATATAGAGCCAAGTTGTCGTGTGCATAAACTGTATACATGAGATCTGAGATAGGTGTACCGACCCAAAGGTGGCACCGTATGCAGAATGCCGAATCTGGGATCGACTTCCAGCATAGGAAGGTGAATAAGATGGTCCATATGCATTAGCTCAACCAGTATGAAGACATAATGTTAGATTCTACGACCACTGTGGGCTGAGGCCCTATGGGCGGTCGGTTTCGATTTCTTTCTACTGGATTCCAACTACTACTCTCTCCAACCACTACTCTCTGTTCTTTCTCATCACGATCAACAAATCTCCCTTTCCACTATCTCTCTCTCTCTTCTCTTCCTATTCCATCTCTCCTTGTCAAAATTATTCAATAGTGCGGTCGCTCGTTTTCTTCTTTTTTTTTTTTTTTTTTCTGTCATCCGTCTCCATCCTTTAGGTGAGAAAAGAAAGAATAGACTACATCGAAGAACAAAGACATGTTTGAAGAAAATAAGATCACAAAGTATAGAAGCTCCTCCTCATCCCAATCTTGTTGTTATGTTCTTGTCAGATTATGATTTTCTACTTTATTTTTCGTTCTTGTATTGCTTGGTCGTGTTGGGCAGACAGCCTATAGCCCACTTTCCTTATTAACCTAAACCTAGATCTAATAAAGGGGGTGTGAGGGCTATGAAAAAAATGGATATAAAACTACAACAGCAACATGATTCAAAATCAGAAAAAAAAAGGACATAAAAATAAAAGAAGAGAAAAAAAAGAAGAAGACAAGGATAACGCCGAGACTGTTCTGAATCATCCAATCTAAGCAGTATTCTCATCTAATATTAGATTAGATCTACAGTAGATTTTTTTGTGTGATTATTTACGTTATAAAAATCACGGGGCAAACAAAAGAAAATTCACTATAAGAAGTTATCCTTACTCAAGTCCAATCCTTTTTTATACCCTCTCATATATATTTTAAAGAATTTATATCTTTTATTTCATCATATCTTACTGTTCCCCACCAAAACTATAACATAATTTTTTTTTTCATGATGATTTCTCCTCGTACTAAGATTTCTTGTTCTTTTTAAACATTGGTTTTAAAACTCCTAAAATATTTATTAATACTAACACTTTAGATTTTTTTTTTTTTTCTAGAGGGATCAATTGGGCATAAGAGACATGGTTTCAATTAGGTACTTCCGATGGATTTATGTCCAGCACAAATGTATCATGAGCCAAAAATATATATATATATATAGTGGTCATGTTAGATACATTATTTTTATCCTGAATAAATAAATCGAGTGCAGAAGGAATGCTTTGGGTTTGGATGGTTCAAATATTTTTTTGTCTTAAGCGAATGTGAATGTATCATATGCTAAAACGACATATTAGTCACATCCGACAGATATATTTTCTGATGACGCATCATATCGTGCAAATATGTACCATCTATACATTTGCTCTCACAACCATATCATATCATATGCAGATGCTTCGTAAAGTGCTTGGATTATAAGGTTGGGTTTGAGCGTTGATCATATAGTGGTCATATTAAAAAAAATAAAATATTTTTAAAATAAAAATATTTTATTTTAATCTAAGAGAGAGAGAGAGATAAGATGATCATTCAATTTTATTTTTTGTGCATATCCCTCTAATTAAATGATACAACCAAAATGCCTTAATCTTTTACTCTACGAATTTCTTGTTCATTTATCTTAATTACAATGTTAATTTATTTCTAATGTTTATTTTCATAACCCATCACAAGGACAAACACTAAAAACTCAGTTGATATTTGTCTCGATCTTAAGGGTATTGAGAATACTATTACATGTTTATTATATGACACAAGGTTTTCTTTTCTTGCAGACACCCAATGGAATTGGTTTTATTCTGGGAACAATTCAATCGATCTTATATCTAATCTATGTGAATGCTAAAGCCTCAAAGCCATTAGGGGATTCACATGAAGAAGAATGGCAGCATTAACGGCTCATTAACTCAAACAGTAAACATGAGGCTGATGAAGAAGCTCATATCTAAAAGCTTATAATAAGCCTCTTAGGGGTTATGATGTTTTTTATGCTTCATGATTCCTTAAATTAGCATGGTTTTATTATATGTTTATCTTAATTAATGTAATTTTTGGCACTTCATTGTTGTTGTTGGTACCCTTAGAAACCCCTAAAAGGTCTCAAAATCTTAATCAGAATTTTAATTTTAAAAATAAGCATCAATAAAAAATAAAAATTCACAAAAATTACATGAACTAAAAATATACATCAATTACTATAGCAGTTGTTCTTCACCAATTTTTGTATGGCATTTTACACAACAAGCCAAGAATATTTAATGAAATATGTCAATTCTTGAAATAAGCCTTTGTATTTAAAATTAAAATACCAATTATTGGCTAAAAAACTAGTATTTTCCAAACTACCAAAATTGTAATATATATATGTGTGTGTGTGTGTGTGTGTGTGTTGAATTTAAAGGGATAAATACAAAAATCACTAACGTAATTTGAGATCGAGCGACTATGTCAACCTCTTTCCCTAAAAGAATCCAAGTACCTATTTAATTGTATTCATCGTATGGAAACCTAAGATAATAAATATTGGCGATGGAGATGGGAGTGTTTGGTAGTAAATTGCATATAGAAGCTTTACCTTTTATTCATAGTCTCATATGAGAAGGTACATAAGGTCATAGTGTTCCCAGCATCAAGCTCGCTAAGGGAACATATCGTTTGTAGTGGAGTCCGAGGATACATAGGCATGCAGATGGACGTATTTGAAGTTCGTTTGACGGATCATATAACGCTGTCTTCTTTCTCAGTTCCCAGCGACGGTGTACTTGGACGGGCCAAGAATTCCACCAAGAAGGCCATCACCTCCCAGAATTCCACCGAGCAATCCGCCTTTACCGAAAATGTCACCGAGCAAGCTTTTGTTCCCAAGAAGTCCGTCGAGACCAGTACCTGAGAGAAGTTGGAGGGGCGACTGCAGCTTCCCGGTGGCCCGGAGCGACGCGTCGCAGGTGGAGACAGGGGTGGGGATGACTAGCTTGCAGCTACTCAAAAGGTCGGACACAGTTGAGGTTTGTTCACTCAGTAGCATCGCAAATGCTCCATTGCTGTTGGTGGTGGTGCTGGCGATGACACTGCTCCCACACTGTACCTGCACCGTCGCATCTGCATCCACAAGAAGATCCATGTTTCGCTAAAAAGATGTGTTTCCCGTACTCATAAAAA